ATTGTGCCATAATTTATTAGTCATTTATATATGGCATATTAGTTTTGCAAAATATTATTAATTTCATTATGAAAATTCATACTAGTTAATTTTAAATAAATAAAGTTAGCCAATCAAGCCAAATATAGGAAATTTTAACCAAACCTAAATGTTTGAACACTATTTAAAACAAAAACATTGTATTTATATTTTTAGCAAATTTATTTAAATAATTTTTTATACAAATCATTTTCTGTTATTAGCCATAATGCCGCTGAATTAATGAGAACTGAATTGATATTGTATTTCTTTGTAAATATATATTATATAATATATTTAACAATTTAAGCGCAAAAATATGTTGTTATTGTAAAAAAGTGCAAACAAATGTTAAAATAAATATAGTTATGTGTAAATTATACATTTGCTAAGTTCAAAGTCTCTTTATAGAAGTCACGTCTCTCTGTGATACAAATTTTAATGTTAATTTTACTAAATGAAAATTTTATAGCAACAAATATAAGCAAAATAATAAAGTAGAAATATGAGAGCATACAATTAAAAGTAATAACCAACTGTTATTTGGTAAAAATTTAATAAATAAAATTATTAAATGTAAAAACAGAAAAAGAAGTGCTGTCAAAAGAATGAATATAAAAATTGTCATTAAGAAAATATTAAAAGAAATAAATAATTAAATAAAAATTAAAAAAAGCAAACACAAAATATGTTTACTGCAAAAGTCAACTTGATAAGTGATAAAAAGTAGGAAGCAGCATGCCATCAAATCATTGTAGCAAAGCAATCAAACACACATGCATACATAGATACTATCATACATATAAATAGTTGTAAAATTAAGCATTCATGTGTTAATCGAAATCACCCATAGCTATCACACACATAGTAGCTATATATGTATGTACATATAAATAACGGCATTACATGCTAAAGTACACTTCAGCTTCCATACTTTCATAGTTGACTTTCAAATTTCTGTGCATGTGCAAAAACAAAAAAAAAAGTAAGAAACTGAAACAAAACTCTTCCACTTTCTGCGTACTACATAAGCTTGCATGTGTTACAGGGTGGTTCAAGTGCAAATTTATTGACGTTAGGTGCACCGATTAGTTAAAAATTATATAAAGATGGTGAAACGAGTGGGAGTGGGACTCTGCTAAATGCATATTCTTTGGTATTTCATTTTTTATACTTGTGTGCTCCTAAAATTCCCAACAGGTTTATAAACATTTTTGCATTGATTTTTGGTGTCTTAAAGGAGATTTCTTCTTTTAATTACTTATAAGGTTTTTTTTCTCACAAGAAAATTTCAAGGTACCTAACAAAGTATACAAAATTATTCAGACTTCAGACTAAGGTTGATTTTTGGTTGATAAAACTTCGCTAATAACTTTACACTTTCTCTTATCAGCAAAATTCCATAAAGAAATTTGCTTAAACAAAATCCGCACAATATTAGTACCTTGAGAGCTTACATACATACGAATCTGTAGCTTTTGTTCTCTAAAGCTAAAGTCTTTTAACACACATTATAATACCATGAAATTCTAATATTTCGAACTTTAACATTTTTCTAATATTATATTTTCTTTAATTAGATTGCATGACTTGACAGTTTTGATAATAAAAAGGTTACATTTTTGATATATATTTGGTTATATTTTGTATCAGATTAAATCAATTTGAGATCGACTTTGAATAGTTCCAAAATATGTATGAAAGACCAACAATTTTTCATATTTTCCAAGAATGACAAATACAGTTGAACAAAAATATCACCGTTACAAAATACGAGTTTTTCTGATACAAATATGTACAGACAATCAAAAAAAAAAAAAAAGGATGTGTAATTGAGTTTTAAAGAATAATAACGTTAAATGTAGTTATAATGTTTCGAAGGGCATGTAAGGTGGAGTCAGTTCGTAATCCGTCTGTGCTAGAGCTTTGAATTACGCTTCCTTTCCTTTCTTTTCAACTGCAAGTATATCGAAACGCTCTGATCCCAAGTATACACCTTCAGCATAATTATACTAAAACCATAAATTTTATGAAAGAAAATTTGTTTTTTGAAACAAAATTAAATTGGTACTTAGAGCACCCTGTTTGTAAGCGTATATGCCGATTTCTTACAATCAACAATTCAATTTGAATGTGAATAACTGCATAGCATAATATAAATATATCAATTAAGCAAAAGTAAAAATAAATGCGAAAAAATCTGAAAAGTATTATGTGAAAATTTAAGTGAGTTCCAGTATGATTTAGGCAATAAACTCTAAATTAAAAATTAAAAAAAAAAACACAAAAACAAATAAAAAACTCTGCAAAAAGTGCAACAGAAAAATACTGAAATACAAACTAAATAAATTTATTTGTCAATGACATAATAGAAAATGTTACATTCTCTGCGGACTCTCAATTTATAGAAGTAAAAGCTGGTAAGTAGAAGGACACACTTGGAAAAGAAATAATTATTCATCTTCAAAGCGATTTCTGCAACAATCAATATTTGATGAAAGATATTATCAACCGTTAGAAGAGCTTCCAATATATTATGTTCTATAAACTTAACCTCATAAAGTTCATGGCACTGTAGCGTATTTTTCAATACTTTTTGATATTTATTGTCAAGATTACACGTATAAAAGACTAATAGAAAAAAACGAAGAAAAAGAAAATATTGCTATATAGATAACTGAGCCGTAAATGTTTCTGGATGCATTGGTAGATCGCACGATTAATAGCGAAATCATGGTGTGATTTTCATATCTGCAACCGTTTTTGGCATGTCAAGCTCATAAATCCATGTCTCATCGGCAGTTTTAATGCTTTCCATGAATGTGGAATCGGAATTCGCTTGATCAAACCAAAGAAGTTTACGGCACACTTTTTTTTTAAATATTCAGATT